TCTCAAAATTTCATTTCGGTGCATCCCTAATTAAAAAGGTGGAGGGCAGGTGGCTCCAGATATTTCCCAATGGCTGCGGGTAGGAGCGCTGGTTGATTTTGCTTCCTGGTGATGTAACGCTCAAGTTCAGCTGAATCCGGTTTCTTTTTTTATATCTTTGTAACTGAACAAATTGTAATAAAAATATATTGAAACTGATTGCTGTTGCTGCTTACAAGAGGGAGGAACAGTACATATATGATCCAGAATGCATCTAAACCCTAATGCTGCCCATAAACATTCATTTGCAGGCATTAAACCATTTTCTTCCCATCAAACAATTTAAAGAAGATGACAAAGACATCAATTACATGACAAATGGAGGCAACAGCATTTAGGTACGAGTTACTGAGCCAAATGAATACACACATAAACAGGGCTTGAAAAATGTTAGGGTGTCTCACCAGTCAGTCAAAAATGTCACCAGTCTGCATGACCAGACTATAGCCTTGCAATTTATGTTAACATTGTTTAGGGACACATAGAGCTTTCTTTTGGTGGTATATAATCACCACTTTTTTTTTTACTATATAATGAAAAAAGTGCCATAAATTAAAAAAAAATACATGTTTTCCCTATGTTACATTAAAAAACATTTATTCTTACCCATATTTTTGTTAAATTATAAAAGACCGGGTCACGTTGGATAAATAGACACCAAACATGTCAAGCCTGAAAATTGCGCACACCCGCAAAAAACTACCACACTAAAAATTGGCCATAGACAACGCTTTAAACGCTTTTACTGCTCATCAGTTTAGTGTTATCAGTGATTAATGGCCCTAAAATTATTGCTCTCACGCCGACGTTCGCGGTGATATGTAACATGTGCGGCACAATAGGTGCAGTCGTCGTTTTCGCACGTAGGCGCACCTGAAGCATGTTTGCTAGTGTATGTGGGGGGCCGGGGACTTTAAAAAAAATTTGTGTTTTTAGAATAAAATGTATTATTTTTTTTTTATTTTTTTTACACTTAACTATATTGCTATCACATGGGGAACTAAGAAGCCCCTTATGTGATAGCCAATTTACATGACAGGTCCTCTTTATGGAGACATCAGGGGTCTCCAAGATGCCTAATGTCACCTAGGGACCCCCAGAGAAGCTGATGAAGCAGAGATCTGCTTCAAAAGCTTCTCCCCAGCTTCTGAAGCTGGGAGAGTGACAGCAGAATGCGGAAGTAATGTAATATACATCACTTCCTGCATTCGGGGGACTGGAGAGGAGATCAGAGTGAGATCGTGTACTGATCTCCCTTTGATCTCGTCACAGAGTAGCCGTGCCGGTCCCGGCCGCACCGGGCACATCGGATCTCGGGACAAGCAATGGCAGTGACAGATGCTGCTAATACAAGTGATCGGGCATCTCTAGAGACGCCTGATCGCTTGAATGTAAAACTCCCGGCTGGCCGTTTAATTACAATGACCGGCCAGGAAGCTACTGATCCGGCTCTGGCGCCCTCTCGTCACATACAAGAGGACGAGCTGATTTTTCAAGCCCTGCACATAAGCAATAAAACCATAATTAGGAACAGACAGCTCCTGAGTAAGGAATAGCAAAACTGGTCGCCACATCCAACAGAATATACACAGTCAAGTATATAGGCATGCAATGATAGATCATGTAGTGGTAAAGACAGAAGACTGTCAGATTGTAGAGGGAGTATTGTAGAATCTGTTACTTTGATCATTTATATAAGGAAAAGCAACAAAATGCATTTGTGGAAATGGATTAATTTAGCCATGTTTACCATTTAAAGCTGGATAATGATTGAAATTGCCTGAAAGTGCCATGTGGATGGCCACCAAACCAGCTTTGTGTATTATTTAGAGAGACATGGTATGACAGAAGGAAGGACAGAAGCAGAGATTGTAAACTCTTTGCCATATTAAACTTTGTCAAGTTTAAAACACAGCAGATGTACATTAACATCTTAAAATATAGTTCTTTACACATGGCTAACTATTGACACTAGGCACAGGAATTACATGTAAAACAACAATATACTAGGCACAGGAATTACATGTGTACTACAATATATTATAAATAAATGGAAAGGGAGTTTTACATAAAATAATAGATTGTTTCTTACCTTTATGTCCCTGTGCATTTTTCCTTTACTGTGAAGATAATACAAACCCTGAAAAAGCACATAAATGGTTAGAAACAGCTGTGGACATTACGGTTTAACAACCTATGAAGAAAATCCATAATCACAAAGCAACTTTCTTGCTGGCATACTTTTTCTAAATAGAATTTATAAAACAGGACCTATACTGTGGTAGCTGAGCTCAGAAATAGGCAAGAAGTGGGCAAATGACTAATCACAAGTATTTCTTATGGGATCCCTGCAGCTGTTATTTTTCCCATTATTGACTTTACCATGCCTTGTTCCACACAGTCTCTGTGTGGAGGTGGCCATTTTGATAGAGGAGGAGAGCTTTGCTTCCTCAGGTCAGAGCTGGTGATCTGATGACGAGTGGTGTAATATTCAAGAAGGAGCAGGAGGGTTGAAGGAAGCACAGAGCCAGATAAGGCATGAAGCATAAGCAGGGAGATCCTTAGGTATGGCTTCCTCTCCAGCAAGGAAAACAAGACCTAGCACTATCTTCAGGGATTTCTGTAATATAAGACCTACCCCGAAAATAAGACCTAGTTCGGTGGTAGGTCTTATATTACAGAAATCCGCTAGGTCTTACTTTCGGGGTAGCTGCACATAAACTGTGTAAAGACCGGCCGCAGCTCCAACCTAGTGTCTTATTTCGTGCAAAAAAAAAAATAAGATAGTGTCTTATTTTTGGGGAAACACGGTAGTAATGCCAATTCTAAATTTCCCTCCAAATCTTGTGAGGCTAGCAGTTAGTGGCAGCAGTGCCGTAGATTACCTTATATTGCAGATATACAGGTATGTGGCTTTAGCAGCTAAAATCTCTCTCTAATCTCTCTACTCTCTCTTGGCTGCTGCAGCAGCCGTGTTCTTAGTACCGCTTTTAACAGCCAGCGATGGCTGTTAATGTAGAAGCGATCCGGCGGCTCCCCCACTCCCGCCTCTGTTGTCTTCCTCGGCGGGTCTCCTCGCAATGATCGGAGAGAGATTCAGCGGCTTCCAGTTGCTGATCTCTCCTCCGATCACTGGACCCGGAAGTGATGTGTATTACATCACTTCCAGTGTCACTGTACAGAGTCTGCGGCTCTTCAAGCCAGGAGATGAAGCTGGGGAAGCAGATCTCTTCTTTGAGGTCCCTAGGTGACATTAGGGGTCTTGTTATCCCTATGTAATAGCAATAAGGTTAGTGTAAAAACAAAATAAAAAATAAAGTGTTTAAAAGTTATACAAATGAAACATAAAAGAAAAACGTTAAAAAAAAAATGTTTTAATTCCCCTGCCGGCCACATACACACCCAAGTAGAGCTGCAACAGTTAATCCATTTAGTCGATTAAAATCGACGATTGAAAACGTTGCCAACGTTTTCGATCGTCGATTCGTCGGCTATCGATTGATTTCCCTGTTCGGGGCTCCAAACGCGGCCTGAAGCACACATCACACGCTGTTTCCGTCCCGCTGCGCCCGCCGGACATAAGCCACGCCCACCGCATGCTGCTCCCGCCGTGCCCACAGGGCGCATAAGCCATGCCCCCCGCACGCTGAAGCCACGCACGCCGCTGCTCTCCTCCATGAGCTCCCTCACTCGGAACTAATGTTCTGCAGGGTGCCGGTGTATTATACATTGGTTTTCTGCATTGCATTGTATTGTGCATGGTGTTCTGCATTGTATAATACAGTGACACACTGCAGAACACCAGCAGCTATAGAGGAACAACAAATCCCAGCAATAATACATTATACAGGCTGTATAATGTATTATTGCTGGGATTTGTAGTCCTCCATAGCTGGTGGTATTCTCCATTGCGCTGTATAATGTATTATTGCTGGGATTTGTAGTTCCTCTAACTGGTCAGTGGTAATCCGCATTGTGCAGTATAATCATTATACGGTGCAATGGAGATACCACCAGCTATGGAGGACTACAAATCCCAACAATAGTACATTATAGTATAATGTTGTACTATTACACGCAAGCACGCGTCGGTGCGCCTACGTGCGAAAATGACAATTGCGCTACATTACCCAAATGTCCTCAAAGGATAACAGACTGAAGATTTGTTTGAGGGTTTGAGGAACTTAGAAGTCCAGGGTTTGTGGGTGAATTGAAATCTGGCAACTTGGTGGACTGGGAGTAATGAAAGGAACTCTTCCTGGCCTCTGATGAGGAGTGAGCCTTCCTAGTAGGGATGCACAGATACTTTTCGAGTACCAGTGCCGATACTTGAAATTTTCATGAGAACTACCAGGGTTGCAGCGGTTGCAGCTGGGACCCGGCCCTGGCGCTCCACCACTGTCCTGAAATCATTACTCTGTATTGTATTAGAAAAACTGTCACATGACAATAAACAAAAATGTATCAGTACTCGTACTTGTAAGTACTCGGCAAGTACCAGTACTCGTACTCGCAACACTGGTATCTGTGCATCCCTTTATTTATATTTATAAAAACAAAATGGTACATGAAAACAGAGATGTACAAATCCCGGGAGCTCCGTGTGCTCCTTACAAATGACAGCGGCCTCCTAATTTTTGAATTTTTCTCTAGTGTAGTCTTGGAGCTCAAAAGTATCGGTACATGTACTCATACTTGTACCGAGTACTGTACTTGGTATCTGTGCAGCCCTACTTCCTAGGCTGAAAATTCGTCTTTTTCTGCTGGGAAAGATGGGTGATCTTGCCGCTGGTGATATCCTTTATGAGGCTGTCCAGGGCAGCCCCAAAAGGGACACTGTCCCTCGAAGGGCATGCAAACAAGACACTTTTTTACATGCTGGTTCCATAGCCCAACACTTTAACCAAAAAGTCCACCTTCAGAAAGGAGACCTTTAACAGCCAGTATGTCCAATAATTTAAGGCTGTAGGCCCTAAAATTAAGCTATCCACTTTGCAGGGTAACCAGATCCCTTCTGATGGCTTTTTTCAGTCAGCTAAAGTATGGCAGATAGGGGTCATGGCCAGGGCTGGTTGCAAAGCAGGACCTGCAAGACAGAACAAAGTTTTAGAAAGGTCATGAATTTCTTGCAGATTGGATTCTTAAACGAGTGAGTTTAATATGTGTTCTGGGGGCTTGGGAGGGAGAGAGGGGGGGAGTTTAATATGTGTGCAGGGGGATTGGGAGGAAATGTTTAATGTGTGCTGGGGGCTTGGGAGGGAGGAAGAGTTTTCTTCTTTAATACTACACCAGATTTAAAATGATGCTGCCAACTTCTGTCCCCACCCGCTGCATGTCAGAACTGTAGCTCAGAGCAGAGGGAAAGGCTCTGAAACTCGTTTACGGCTCTGTGCTACAGCTGTGTGCTGAACGTTAGTGGGCTGGCCAGCTGGCAGCGACATCACCATTGATGTTTGAAAAGGACAGACTCTTCAAAATGAAGGGGGTCTTTACAAGTCAAGGTCACCAATTCCACTCAATGGGAAAGAATGGAAAGAATGGAAACACTAGTGTCAGGTCCTTCATTGGGTACACTGCAGGTAGCACTAGAACCATTAATGGACCGATAACTACAGGCACCATAGGCAGCAGGACTGTCCCCCATGTGTCTAGGATCTGATATGCTGCACTACAAGCAGGGACAACATACAGTAGCTCAGGGTACAAGGATAGGCCTTGAATACTCTTGAAATCAGCTACTAGAAGCAGAAAAGGGTCAGACGGCCAAAGCCGACTAGGTCACAGTTGGCAGAAAACAAAGACAAACCGAGGATAGATGCGTGCTGGATGGTGGGAAGAGAGAAAGTGAACAGCATGAGAGCCAGCCAATGACACCAGTCCCTCAGCGTTAACCCTTCCGTGGTAAACTGACAGAAAGCAAGATCTTTACAGTGTATTTCCACTTTTGCAGTCAAATTCAAGAAAACCCTTCTATGTGTTTGTTACATGAATTCATACAGCATAACGAAAAATAATTTAAAAAAATATATTTCTTACATTTTAGATGTTTTGTTGTAATAGGCAACATGGCTGAATCCAGGTTTTTCTCAGCACCTTCACCATGATCTGCCCTTATATAAAGAAGATATGAGAAGTGAACAATCTAGGGCAGCGGTTCTCAGCGGTTCTCCTGTCGGTGGTCGAATTACTATTTGTCAGGGGTCGCCTAGCAGCTCCTGGTAACGTTTAGTAAACCTTTCTCTACTGTGGTTTTTTTTTTTGACATCGGGCCCACTGGCCGCAGTAAATCAGAAAAAAAAAACAACGTTCTCCCGGAAAGGTTTACTCTGCTCGATCGAGCAGATTAAACCTTTCTCTGTTGTTTTTTGGCCGCCGTTAGGAAAAAAAAAAAAAACCCTATAGGAATGCATAGCTAGATTCCGATTGTCCATTTGACTTTGCTATAGCCAATAGCAAATTAGCTATTGAGCCCTAGCTATTATAGCATAATGTACTATTGCTGCGATTTGCTGTATTCCTCTATAGCTGGTGTCATTCTGCGTTGCGCCGTATAATCATTATACAGCACACTGCAGAATACCAGCAGCTACAGGGGACTACAAATCCCAGCAATAATAAATTCTACAGCGCAACGCAGAATAACACCAGCTACAGAGGACTACAAATCCCAGCAATAGAACTTTATAGTATAATGGACTATTGCTGCAATTTGTTATATTCCTCTGGGATTCGTTGTCTCCTTTAAGCAGTGGTTCTCAACCTGTGGGTTGCTGCGTGATTTGCGTGATCTGCTGTGCTAGGTGAGAGTCCTCCTCAGCCCTCTCCTAGCGCAGCAGTGTCAGTTCTCCCACCATGCCGCCAGATGTCGCTGCAGCAGCCGCGACATCCCTAAATGTTACCGTTGGGGGTCACCACAACTTCGCAAATGATACCAAGGGGTCCCGGCCCTAGAAAGGTTGAGAACCACTGATCTAGGGCACTGGAAAGTGAGCTGAATTGGAGAATTTGTGAAGTCAGCTATTTTGGCCTAGATTGTTCACTTCTCCTGCCTTCTCCAAACTCTTCACCCTTTTGTGAATAACCCTGTTAGGATGGAAATTTGAGGATTCTGTTTCTCTCATTAACTTTATTAACATTTCA